TTCTGTTGTCACTATTAGCCCCCGTCTCTGAGGTTCTGCATCTGGCTGGGATGTGGGGCCAAGCATGAAGGCCTGTGGTGTGACTCCAGTTTCGATGACCTCCCACTTCACATCTACAGCAGGAACTGCCAAGGAGGAAATGGTCACCTGCCCCGACAGCAGGCGGCGGCCCTCACCTTCTGGGCCTGCTCCCTCCACGGCTCCTTCTGCAGCAGCAGCAGCATGCTACTGGGAAGGAGAGCCAGGGCCATCTGCAGAGTGACCCTATGCATTGGGCTCCTGCCAAGGAAGCTGGATGCTGGCCCAGCTGGGCCCTGTTCTTGATGACATGGCAACCAACTGGCACTGAGGCCGAGGAGGAGCGGGGCAGCATGGTCGGCCCACGCAACCACCGCCGCTGCAAAGATCAGCAACAAGAAGTCCAGAGCCTATAATAGAAATAGACACAGGGCTAGTCACATGTTTTAACCACTTAGAGTAACACATGTTCACATACACAGCCCTCTAATGATGCAATGCTCTATTCCCCTCCCCTCCTCCCTCCTGTCCCACCCCTGCCCCAGAAGAGGACTGAACTGAAGAACAAACTCCGTTTCCAAACTTAATCAAGAGACACTGTAGGGCAAGCATGTCAGATTCATGGCCCGCGGGCTATGTGCCTCATTTATTTGGCCCGTGTTAGCCTTTGAGTTTGACATGCTTGCTGTAGGGCTTTGGTAGGTTTTTGGGGTTCTCTTTTGGGAATACAGAGGGACCATCAGTTTGATTATTAGTGCTCTAACATTTCAGGAGAAACATAATTAAATTCCTAATCGTACTGAGCTTCAAATACTCATCTGGTTTGGTGTTTTCTAAGAGATTAAAAATTAATTAAGAGTGCTATGGAAAAGTATATTTAGATTTATTGTTATGTGGCTGAAACTGATTTTAAAAATATTGACAGTTTTGTTCTATTTTTGAACAATAACAAATGACTCTCCTCATGCATTCTACCAAGTGTGTCTAGAATCTGTCCCTTTAGATTTTAGACTAATCTAGACAATTGTAGAAATGGTGGTAACAGGGGCTACCTCTCAGATGTTGGATTACGGTGATTTAAATTACACTTCTTTCTGCTTATCTCTATTTCCTAGGTTTTAAAAGATTTTCATAAGAAAATGGAGAAGGCTAATAGAAACTCAGAAGATCAAAAGAGAGGACAGGTTATGCTTGTTAAAAAAAAAGTTCAAAAAGAACTCAATCTCTTAAAATTCCCACTCTCACTAACTAAAAATTTAAAAACACACGCAACTCCTCAGAAAAGTGGGGCAGAATTTCAAACAACATCCCAGGCTGTGCACATTTTTACTCACAAAGGAAACATGTGAATGAGACATGCCTATAGAAAAAAAAAAAACTGTACACCTCAAAATTGCACAGAGGGCAGTCAAGAAAATGAGGCAAGAGGGGAAAGTGGTGTCATCATTTCATTTACTAATCTTTCTTTTTTAATTCACCCAATACCAGTGATTCTTAACCTTTTTTGGGTCAGAAGTCAACTTGAAGCTGTGCTGAAAACTCTCTAATATATGCACACATGCCCATAGGTAGTGTTGTGCACACAGATTACTTGCACACACTCCAGGAATCTCTTCAAACCAGGTGTGCGAAGCCTCTTGGGCCAGCATGGAGGACGGAGCCCTAGACCCCACCTCCTCTTGGGGTCAAGCCCAAGTACATAGACCCTGGGTTTGCCCTCAGCTAGTGTCCTTTGTGTGCTGCCTGTCAAGGAACGTACTCTTTTGACATCTTTTTCAAGGTGTAACTAGGTGTCCACAAGAACCTGGTAAGAACATGCATTTCTTGTGACATCAGAGTTATCACCGCTGTTGTTTCCCAAGAATAAAAGGAAGGAGGAAAAGAAAGCCACAGGCAGCCAAATATTCCTCTTTTGGGGAGAGCAAATATAATTTTTATGTTTTAAGAAAGCTACAAATTACTCCTCTGAATTGTACCTCATCAAGAGCCACGTTCTGAACAGAGGTTGACTGGTAAGCTATATTTCTGATATAACCCATCAGGTCCAAGAGCCATTCCATTCTCTTCAACACACCTGAAAAGACAAAAACATTTTCTTACCTGACCAGGGTTTTCCCTTGGAAATGCAAAACAGAACAGTAATAACTATCATAGCTCAAGCAGAACACCTGGTAAAGATGTCATAAAATAGTTTCCAGTTCTCTTACCACACCCGAGACTTGCGATCCCTGTGAGAGTTGACACTATTCACAGCAGATGACTGTATTTCGGTCTTCATTTTTAATGGCTAATTTATTCTTCAAGCCTACCCACCCACTAGTGGTAAAAGGCATTTATTGAAGTTCTTTCTCAACATTAAACACACTATGAGAAATCTGGCACCCAGCTAGCCAGTAATATTGAATGCCAAAATTGCACAGAAACCTATCCTAAAGACATAAAAAGTAAAAACCAGACATGATAGGGTAATTAGAGAATAAACAACATATTGATTTTTCCTTTTTTTTTTTTTTTAAAAAATGAGGATTCCCATTATAGTAAAGACTACGTTGAAAGGTTTTCAAAAATCTAGTGAATAAGGAAAATGTAGGGATTAAGCTTGAAGGTTAGAACCAAGGGCAATCTCAAATTTATTTCAATTTGCTTAAATTATCTTCACACTTAATTGGGAACACCTACTGGATTTTTCCCCCCTGATAAATATAGTTTTAATTTTGAGTAAAGAAATCTAGTTTCTCATCATAAGTTCATTTTTCATTGGTGAAGCACAAACACAGATATGAGACAACCATCTCAATTGCCAAAGAGGAAGAGGAATCAACATTTCCAATCCAGTTTTGAAAAGAGTATTACAAAGACGTTTGCCAGTTTTCTCTCAAAACTTTAAAGACACAAGAGATGGGGAAAACGGGGCACAGAAGCATAAGCAACTGGCCCAGGGTCACAGGGCTTCCCGGCCATTTCTGACCTGCTTAAGCCAGATACCACTCAGAACTAGAATGTAGACTCCAGAAATTCTAAGCCTCTGACCAAAGCCGTGGGAGGGGAAATGAAGGAGTTCCCTTTTCAGATGGCTCCTAAAGCCTAAATGTGTAAACAATTTAAAAGTTGTGCCATACGGTTCATTAGCAGAGCTCAGGCCTGGACCTCCTGGCTTGAGGATGTAGTGAGGTCATCCAGATTTTATTCTTCTCAGCCCTGAGAAGTTCTTCTATAGAATAACTATTCAAGTTCATTGTTGCTGTTTTTTGTTTGTTAAATGACTACCCAAAAGCCATTTTCATGAAAACATCAGGCATCATCAATGGATATCCTGTCTGACAGAATCTACCTGATAAACTTTATATCCTTGAGCCAAAAACGAGATAAAAATCCTCAAAAGAATTCGTTCCCATCGCTAAAGAGTGGATGTTGAGAGCTGTACCTGCTCACTTCCAGCCAACGTGCTCCTCATTAGGGGTGACAAAGCCTCACCTATGTCAAGCACTAAACCAGCTTTCAAGTTGGGGAAACAATGACAACTGAAGAGATGGCTTCTTCCTGTTCCGATGCTCGCCCCGCTGGCCTTACCTGTGTTGGCGTGGCTCACGATCCGCGCGTGGTACAAGCTGTGCAGGATCACCCAGGCCAGTGCGTCTTTCTCCCGGTGCTGAGCAACCACACCGAGCATGTCATTCACGCCCATCAAGGGGAGCCGTCCTTGCGAGACCAAGTACAGCCTGACAAAGGCAGCCTTTTCTAGGCTGCTCTGCAAAAAAGCCAATTGTTCAGTTACTATTCAATTAACTGTAGTTGTTATAGAACCTCAGTGCAAGGGCAACACAGAAAGGGTGAGTGTGAAGTTGATTATTACTCCAAATGCTAAAACTGTTCATTTCCTGCAGCGTGTGACCCATTTCCCTGCGCGCTCCACTAGAATGTATATGCAGATAGTGCTGTAGTGTCACCTCCTGCTTCTCATAAAAACCATCAATGACTTCGGGGTCAATCAGTGATGACATTTAGTAAGAATACACAAATAATAACAATGACGGTACTTGTCAGGTGCTAGGCGCCATTCTAAGCACATGACACGTGTTATTTTGACAGTCCACGAAGTATGGTACACAGACCTCTGGGGGACCCCAAGACTCTTTTACAGTGTCTGTGAGGTCAAACTATTTTCATAATAGCATCAAACTGTAGTAATGTCCATTGTATCTTTCATCCCCACTTGAAATTTTTGAAAAAATCTAGTTTCACTTAAAACATTCCTGTAAACCAGTGATTTCAACCTTTTTCTTCTCATGGCACATATAAACTAATTACTAAAATTCCACGGCACATCAAAAAATATGTTGTATTTTTTGCCGATCTGACCAAAAAATAGGTATAATTTTGATTCATTCATACCAATGGCTATTGTTGTGTTGGCTGTTGTCATTTTTTATTGGACAATCTAAGGGAAAAGAGGTCAGTGCCCCTGACTAAATAGTCAGGTATTGTATGTTTCAGAAATTCTTGTGGCACACCAGTTGAAAATCACTGCTGTAAACAATATAAATTATTAATTTCATTAAACCTTTGCCCTTGAGTACACATCTTTTTAATATTCTATGGGACAAAGTGGGAAGTATCCATAACGGACTTCGTGATAAACTTCATTTACGTAAGTTTTGAAGTTTTACATATAGTCCATTCACGTAAGCATTTCTTTATACTGCCTCTCCTTGCGTAACCACCTATGGCTATTCAAACTGCGTATTTGACAGACAACCTTTCTAAAAGTGAAGGACGTGAGACCGCCACTTCATGGAAAACACTTGACGGAATTCACTGCCAATAATAAAATCGGAACTTTCAAGCAAAAATTAGATTTTTGGAAAATTTGTATCTGCTTATATGAGTTTGGCAGTTTCCCAATACATGGAAGACTGGTGATATTAACCAATACGATGGTTTGATATTATATAATGAAATGTACCAACATTTGGAAGATTTTCAAACGGCCAATGTCTGATATTACAAAATCATGCACTGGTGAGAGACGCAGAGCACAAACCGACGAATGGTTTCTAACGTAACCTAGTGGGAAGTTCACCATGAGCAGGTTCCACACTGCAACTAACCTACAAGAAACTACTACTTTTGTGTTTTGGCGCACAATCAAAGAGAGATCCATAATTATCTGAAAAGCCTGTTAACACACTCTTCCCCTTCCTCCTACATATCTGTGTGAGGTGGGTTTTCTTCACATACTTCACCAAAATAATGTCTCAAGAGACTGGAAGGGCAGCTGCCATGAGGCCCCCGCTGCCTCTACCATGGCAGACACGGAGGAGCCTTGCGAGAATGGGAAGTAATGCCACTTTCCTCACGAGTTTTTTTGATTTTCTGGAAAATACTTTTTTCTTATTTATGTTAAGCTGCAATGGGTTTGTTATTATTACTTTTAAGTAAGTAACAGGTGGAAAAAAATTCATGTGAGACCGGAACTATTTTTTTTTTAACACCTTCCATGCACAAGACAGTTCTTTGGTCAGAATATTCCCATTCCTGTGATTTTTGTATTGAAGGCATTGCGCTGTACTTAATTTTGCCCACAGGTGACACTAAAGCAACTGGTGGTTCATGAGGTCGGAAAGGTTGGCGACTGCTGCACTGAAGTGTTCTTGATAAAGTGGGATGAATTGGGTTAAAACGTTATTACATACATTTGTTAAGAACCAACCACAGAGTAGACGGGACACAAGACTCAGAGTGAAACAGAAATAGTTTTCTGAAATTAATAGTAACGCATAGGAAACAAAAATAGCCTCAATAATGAAAAAGTACATGGATATGTTATTACCTCGGTAACCGGGGCAAGCCGATTGGCTTCATCATCCGTCATCTCCGAGAGGCATTTTGCTACACCGATGTACAGCTCTAAGTCATTCCTCTGGTAAAGAACAAAGGCCAAACATGTCAAAATACAATGTAAGGCAAGTATATTCCTAATGTTCCAACAAATTATTAGATTTGCTTATCTCCACGAATAACCAAACCAAAACATGTGGTCATTTGTTTCTCATTTAAAAAACATCTTTCTTGTTATTCTATGTGTTTGTTTGCCTGTTCTTCCTTTTATCTCCTCATCAGGACCCATCATTCCAAAAGGAATTTTAACATCTTTGTAAAACCACAATTCAGGGATCCGCTGGGGGAGGGGAAAGGCTGGTACTAAGTCACTTTATACGAATAGCAGTGAACGACGTGCCCAACTGAGCTTCCTCAACCTCCACAGGCGTTGGTAAGAGGCCGAGGAGTGAACTTCCTGGTGAGCCAGCTTCTGAGCTTGCTTAAGACTTTGGTTCTAAACATTCAACCTCAGTTTAGATCTTGGAAGCAAACACATTCTTAGTGAAGAACGTGGTTCCTTCTTGCCAGCCTTCCCACCACGTTCTTAAAACGTACACCTCCCTGCTGTGCCAAAAGGGCTTTAAAAAATCCCAAACACAAATGGTCAGGAATGTAAATATTGTTGTTCCTCACCCGAATCTTATTTGGCAGAAGGTCAAAAATGTTCCCAGTGGCCTCGCAGAGCAGGCTCCAGAGGTGGTGGGCAGGGCTGGGCAGCTTCATGGCCTGGCTCAGGCCCTGCAAGGCACTCGGGCGTAACTCCGGATTGGCAAGTGGGGAAGCGGCTTTGAAAACGGCCACCATTAAGTTTTCAACGAAGCCCAGGATCTGTTCACCAGAGATGTGCTTGACCCACAGCGGTACAGACACCAGGAGGTATTTCTTGATATTCAGCTGGAAGGAAAACAGCCAAGGTCAGATGTAAACAGGCAGGCCTGGGTTTACAATGCTGACACGCCTGGGTCATCGCTGTGCTTGAGAGCAGCTGCGAGAGAAAAGGTGCAGGTTACTTCCTGCCCCTGAGTTTCCTACAGCCTCCTGGTCCGACGGGCCACCAATGCGTGTAATTTGGCTGCTGCAGGGACTTCTGATCCAGCCTGAGTCGTGTATGCATGGTACCTGCCAACCCATCTGCGAACAACTCGCTTAAACCTGGGATCTTTTCAGTGAGGGGAAGAAAATGCTGCATCATAGTCACTGCTGTTCAGTCTTAAAAAGCCACATTTTCTGTCAAGAAGAGCTCTGGCAGAGGAAAGGCTCGCCCGCTGGAAATCAACTAAACCCAGGACCTGGCAGTCCCGACTCCGTCTTCTGAGGAAGCGCAGGGACATAGTCATGAGAGGAACTGGCACGAGGAGACCATTGCTGACCAAAGAACAGCAGCTGAGCATGTGAGAGCGACCCTGGCATCTGAGAGCTAAGAGGGGCACAGTTAGTGAAGTCTCACAGACTCATAGAGATCAGGCTTCAAAAAGTCTCAGAAACAGCCCGGCCGGTATGGCTCAGTGGTTGAGCGTCGACTTATGAACCTGGAGATCATGGTTCAATTCCCGCTCAGGACACATGCCTGGGTTGCAGGCTTGATCCCGTGTGGGGCATGCAGGAGGCAGCCGATCAATGATTCTCTCTCCCACACCCTTCCTCTCTGAAATCAATAAAAATATATTAAAAAAAAATCTCAGAAACAGAAGTATGATACTAAAGGGGCAGTAAGTCTAAAAGAAGTGATATAAAAAAGGAAAGTCTGACAAAAATCAGTAAATTTCTAAAAAGAGTAATGTTGTTGCATGAGTTATCTGAAGAGCTCACTTAAAAGAATATGCCATTTTAGACCATTTTTTAATGAGAAGGTATGTAATTAAGAAAACGAATTCACAAATTTAATTCATTAATTAACAAAGATAATATGAAAGGCCCATAATCAAGGACAAATGCAAAAGAGTAGGAGATCTGAAAGAGAAATGGAAAGAAGACTAAAACCTAGAAAATTTCTGAGGTCAATAACACAGGTGAGGCTAGGAGAGTTACACCCGATTCAAAAGGAAGAAGCTAAATAGTATAGTGTTTAAGACATGGGCTTTGGGGTCACCCGACTCTCTTCCACTTGTTGGATATGTGGACTCTGCTTAACCTTCGTTTGCCTCAGTTTATCAACCTGTAAAATGGAAATAATAACGTCTACTGTGCAGAAATAAAATGAGCCACACAAAGAAAACTTCCTATTGTATGATTCCATTCTAAAGATTTTCTAAACTTTATATGACACTTAAATTTATAGGAAAGTTCTTTTAAAAAGGCAAAATGACAGAGACAAGGAAGGGATCAGTGGTAGCCCGGGTCTGAGGCTGGGAGTGGAGAGTGACTACAAGTAGGCACACTGGAACTTCTGGCGGTGATGGAAGTATTCTCGGAGATGGATGAAAATAAGTGGACTAAAACTCAAATTACACTTAAAAAGGTCATATTTTATGGAATATAAACTTTAACTCAATAAAGTTAAAAAAAAAAAAAGGCAGCCTGTCAGGATTGAAGAGACTTAACCTGATGCCTGAAAGTACTCACTGAGGGCTTACATGTGGCAGGCGCGTAGCAAGTGCTCACTACGTGGCAGCGGGTGGGAGCTGCTTGGAGCAGACGGGTAATGGTGAAGGCTGACAGACAGGAGGCAGGCATCGAGAACACTGACCTGCAATTCAAAGTTATTAGGAGATGCGGGAAAACGTAAAGGAAAAAAGTGAAGAGGCCTGGCCGGTGTGGCTTGGTGGTTGAGCATTGACCTATGAACCAGGAGGTGACGATTTGATTCCTGGTCTGGGCACACGCCTGGGTTGCAGGCTTGACCCCCAATGCGGGGGCGTGCAGGAGGCAGCTAATTAATGATTCTCGTTCATCATTTATGTTTCTCTCTCCCTTCCTCTCTGAAATCAATACAAATATATTTTAAAAAAGAAAAAAGAAAAAAGAAAAAAGTGAAGGGTAGAGACTGAAGCCAAAAGTTTGAGGAAATAAGGAAGAAGGGTTTGAAGTATCCTCAAAGACTTAAAGCCTCCTAGAATAGAAGAATAACAAAGATGAGGTCATTGAACTTGGAATCTATTGGTAAACCTTGAAGGAAGCAGGGGATGCTCCCTCCATCCTTTGGGAACGAAGAAAGGAGTCTGAAAACAAGCACTATTAGCCCTGACACCAGGTCATTACCAAACACCAGGCAAATCATTTCTTCCTCAGCTCTGTGCTCAAGCTGAACACCTCACAGAGATGTTCTACTCGTTGTACCTACATCCCTGGTGCCTCTAACTGGATGCCTAACCAAGTCCTACTGAGCCCTCAAGGCTCACCTTCATTGCTGCCTTTCCTGTGAGAGGGGGGACCAGATGTCCTGTACATGTGGATTTGTCTTTCTCTTACTACCTACTGAATGACTATGTGCATCATATAAACAAGTAAACCTAGGTTCAATGACTTACTAGCTGTATGAATGTGAGAAAGGAACTTGAATAACTCTGGTCAGCCTGTTCCCTTTCTGTAATACATGGTAGCTGATAGCATAAATGGTGACAGTTACGGCAGAGGCCGAATCACACAATTTTTCACTCTGTTGGCCACCCTCAGTTTTTATAAAATCCCACTCGTCCACTCTTTACTTTGAGAACACACCCCAAATGCATGTTAATCTCCCTCCAGAGAACTGTATCCTCCTGTTGCCCGACACCCTTAGTTACTACATACACTGAGACCGTGGAGCAGCGGGGGCGTCACCCACAGTCCCAACAGCGCAGCCGCATTCTGGGAGGACTGCGCCTGGGTCACCATGATTTCCAGGCACAGCTGCTGGACCTCTTCACCTGAAAGAGAAGGAAAAGAACATTAGTGCAGCTGCTGCTCTGCTTTTCAGCCTTCAGTGTCTCAAATCAACGCATCTGCTGTGTGACTTCTACAGGGAACAACTGCAGTAAATAAACCAAGGTATTCTAAGAGACCTCTTAGAGATGAGGTAAAAGAATGTACCACTGGCCCCAGAATCCCAGGTCTTAGGACTGACAAGGGCCTTGAGCTAGCTGGGGTGATCTCTCTCATGATACCCAGGTAAACCTAAACCAGTGATGGCGAACCTCTGACATGCGAACCCATTTTTTTGGTTGATTTTTCTTTGTTAAATGGCATTTAAATATATAAAATAAATATCAAAAATATAAGTCTTTGTTTTACTATGGTTGCAAATATAAAAAAATTTCTATATGTGACATGGCACCAGAATTAAGTTAGGGTTTTTCAAAATGCTGACACGCCAAGCTCAAAAGGTTCGCCATCACTGACCTAAACACTCAAATACTATCAAAAATTTGAGGAAATTTTGTCTAAAGATCTCTTTGCCTCCGTTTCCCCTCCTCTCCACCTTGCCCCTGGCACACAGAGAAATCTGTCTAGATCTGGCAGGACTTAGAGATGGAGCCACATTCTGCAGGGACTGAGTCTTTTTAATGGTCTGATCCCATCAGCAGACAGCTTTTCTTTTTTCTTCTCTTTTCTAAGGAGTTTTACTAAAACATGAACTTTTTTCAATAAAGCATGCAAAAGCAGGGCAGAAGGACATATTTTTCAAATGAAATCTCTGATGACAGTATAGTAACATCATATCTTATACTGGGATTAGGTTAAAAATGAAGGCATTTAAATAAAAAAATTGTGTACAGTCAAAATCATCTTTGATTATCTCTTAAATTGCACATAAATCACAGCATAACAAATCTTTCTGTAGATCACGTATAAGCACCTACTGTAAAGTAACATTCGTGACATATGCACACAAACATCCATAGTCACAGCATTGTTAAAATTATTGTCCCTTCCTCTCTCCCTCCCTCCCTTCCTCTCTCTTTTTTAAAATTTTCTGAAGGTGAGGGGCAAGTACATGAAGGTAGATCTGCATATGCTAAGTCCATGGAAGAGGTTGCTGCGGATGAATGAGAGGGAGGTGTGGAGGAGGCATCCCTTCGCCTCTCACCACATGTACCTGTAGTAGACAGGATACTGGCCCCCAAAGATGTCCACATCCCAATCTCTGGAACCAGTGAATACGTTACCTTGTATGGCAAAGGGACTTTGAGGATGTGATTAAAGTTAATGACCTTGAGATGGGAGTTATTCAATTGGACTCACTAATTACATGAATCCTTAAACATGGGTAACCTAGTCCAGCTGCATGAGAAGGCCTCAGCCCTCTGCTGCTTGCTTTGATGATGATGGGGGAGATGGGGCACAAATCAACAAATGTGGGCAGCCTCTAGAACAGTGGTTCTCAACCTTGGCTGCACATTCGAATCACCTGGGAATCTTAAAATCCTGAGTTCTGGGCCTCATCCTCCGGAAATTCTGTTTCTTTGTTATGGGGTGGGGCCACAACATTAGTAACAAAGAAACAATTTCCGGAGGACAGGCCCAGAAATCAGGATTTTAAAAAGATTCCCAGGTGATTCGAATGTGCAGCCAAGGTTGAGAACCACTGCTCTAGAAGCTAGAAAAGGAGAGAAAACAGATTAACAGATTCTCCCTTTCTTAGTCTGTTTGGGTTGTTAGAACAAAGTACCATAGACCGAGTGGCTTATAAACCAAAGAAATTCATTCCTCACAGTTCCAGAGGCTGGAATTCCATGGCCAGGGCGCCTGCGTGGTCAGATTTCGGTGAGGATCCAATTTCTCACTGTGTCCTTGGGTGGCGGAAGGGGCTAGGGAGCTCTGTGCTGCCTCTTTTATGAGAGCACTCATCCCATTCAGGACGGCTCCACCCTCATGACCTACTCAACTTCCCTAAGGCCCCATATCTCCTAATACCATCATACAGGAGGTTAAGATGGCAACATATGCATTTGGGGGTGGGTGGCATGAATGTTCAGACCACAGCACCCGCTAACGCATCTAGGAAATAATGCTGCCCTGCGATACCTTGACCTTAGCCCCGAGAGAACCCTGTTGGCCTTGTGACCTGCAGAACTAACTATAAGATAAATAAGTAAACGTGTGCCAGTTCAAGCCACTAAGTCTGTGGTAACTGGCTACAGCGCCCCCTTGTCTGCTTCCATGAAAGCTAGGGCAGAGGCAGTACAGTTTGATAAACAGCCCAGCCTTCTGGTGCCTGCAACACATGCCCAGCAACATGCACATGTCGGCCAAATACTGCCTTGATGAGTGCATCTTTCTGCATCTGCCTGTGTCTTCAACCTCCCCCTCCTCACCCTCAACTATTTAGAAAGTGACCAGTGAATGTAACCCAGGGGCCCCAACCACGAAGTCAACCCTCTAACCCCAAAGGTCTATCTAGTCAGTGCCGCCCATGACAAAGAACCCATTTTTTGACCCGGGTCACACCCTAAAAGCAGAGTCTGAAGGAGTAAAAACACTTGATATTTACCAAAGTTTAGCCTCATAAGTGGGGAGAGCAGTGCACCCCAGTTCACAGGAGGGTACTGGTGGCTTTCGCCAACCGCCGCGATGGGTTTCATCACCACCTTGAGAAGGGACGGGGGCACTGACTCAGGACCTGCAACAGAAGGAAATCAGTAACAGGACATTTCCGGGGCATCATGCATGGAGTCGGCCAGTGCTCCCTCCTGGTTCTTCTGTTCCAAAGGGACTGGTATCACATCTTCCACTGTGGTCTATCCTTCAGTCCTGTGCTTTTAATTTCAACCCCACTTACTCCAAAACCTGGTTCCCTCTGCTCCTCTCTCTCTCTTTCATTTGCTTCCGGTCTGTTCCTCTTGTCCAGATGGGAATATTCAATGTAACTGCTTAGCTGTCTTCCATGCTTTCTCATGTCTTTTCACCCAGCTTTCTAAAAAGAGTAATGTTCTCTACAATACCTATTGCCTCACTGCTCGCTCATTGCTCATTCACTTCCAGAAAAGGAGACAATTACTGCTGACTCAGGAAAATTACCTTCAGGGTCTGTGGCCCTAAATGGGTATGCCCTGTGCCTTGTGATTCACTGTTCCATTCCTCAGCCTGTGCATGGCTGACTACTCCAGAGGTGAGCATATAATGCAACAGCTAATCCATAGGTTAACCAGCTATGACACAGTACCACAACTTTAATATTATATTCTTACTAGTGGCCCGGTGCACGAAATTTGTGCACATTAAAAGGGGATTAATTAGAGGAAATATTTTAATATTGCTATTTGCCTTTCTCTATAAAGAAGTGTCAGAGATGAAAGAAAATTAGTAAAATGTATATGAAAATCTCCCTCCTGTCAGAGTCTGGGGTGCACTGCAGGACCCAGAGTCAAGTCCCCACACACCCGTGCACGCTTCAAAATCGTGCGAGACCCACCCCTGTCAAGCCCCGCAGGGTGGAGGGGGCACAGCCTCAGGTCCCCCGTCAAGCCCCGTTGGGTGAAGGGTGTAGCCTCAGGTCCCCTGTCAAGTGCCGCTGGTGGGGGGCGTGGCCTCAGGTCCCTGGCCCCAGCGAGAGGGTGTGGGGGTGTGATGATCATTTGCATATTAGCTCTTTATTATATAGGATTCAGGTGGGGTAAATTGAAATAGAAAAAAATGAGACATAGCACAGTTATAAGTGGAGTCATAAGGCATAGTAGGAATTGGAGTAGCCATTAAGGGTCATGAAGTTACAAGGAGATCAGAAATGATGTACAGAAAAGTGGAAGACCAAGAGGGAGAAGCAAAAGTAACAGGGGCATCATGAGCAGGAGAAGGGAAACCAGCATCAGCAGAAAGAGAAGCAGAATTAGCAAAAAGCATCACTAGGAAAAGGAAAAGCAGGGTCAGAATCAGTAGAATGAGCTGCAGAATCAGCAGCCAATGAAGGGGAAAGCAGAAGTGGGAGCAGGGCCAGCAAAAGGAAACCAGCTGCAGAAAGGAGAAACTCAGAAAAAGGAGAAGCAGAGGCAGAAAGGGCAACAGAATCAGCAGACACTGAGGGGAAAGCAGAAACAGGGACAGAGTCATCAAAGGGAAACCAGCGGCAGAAAGGAAAAGCACAGAGAAAGGAGAAGCAGAAAAGGCAACAGAATCAGCAGGTACTGAGGGGAAAGCAGAAGCAGGGACAGAGTCATTAAGAGGAAACCAGCTGCAGAAAGGAGAAGCACAGAGAAAGGAGAAGCAGAGGCAGAAAAGGCAACAGAATCAGCAGGCACTGAGGGGAAAGCAGAAGCAGGGACAGAGTCATTAAGAGGAAACCAGCTGCAGAAAGGAGAAGCGCAGAGAAAGGAGAAACAGAAAAGGCAACAGAATCAGCAGGCACTAAGGGGAAAGCAGAAGCAGGGACAGAGTCATTAAGAGGAAACCAGCTGCAGAAAGGAGAAGCGCAGAGAAAGGAGAAACAGAAAAGGCAACAGAATCAGCAGGCACTAAGGGGAAAGCAGAAGCAGGGACAGAGTCAGCAAAGGGAAACCAGGTGCAGAAAGGAGAAGCACAGAGGAAGGAGAAGCAGAAAAGGCAGCAGAATCAGCAGGCACTGAGGGGAAAGCAGAAGAAGAGACAGTGTCATTAAGAGAAAACCAGCTGCAGGAAGGAGAAGCACAGAGAAAGGAGAGGCAGAGGCAGAAAAGGCAACAGAATCACCAGACACTGAGGGGAAAGCAGAAGCAGGGACAGAGTCAGCAAAGGGAAACCAGGTGCAAAAAGGAGAAGCACAGAGAAAGGAGAAGCACAGAGAAAGGAGAAGCAGAGGCAGAAAAGGCAGCAGAATCAGCAGAATCTGAAAAGGGGGAAAACATATGTGAGGCTAGAGCCAGCAAAAGGAAAAATAGCCACAGAAAAGAGAAGAACATGAAAAAGAATAGAGGCAAAACAGGCAGAAAGGTAGCTGAATCAGCAGATGCTGAAAATGAGGAAGGAGAAATAGAGACAGAGTCAGCAAGAGGAAAATCAGCTATAGAAAGGAGGAGCACAGCAAAAGAAGCTGATGCAGAATCAGCAGGAAAAGCAGCGAACTCAGAGGCTGAAGAACTGGGAAAGCAGATGCAGAGGCAAAGTCAATAAAAGGAAAAAATGTTGAAGAAAGGAGAAGTATAGGGAAAAGAAGAAACATAAAAATGGGCAAATAACTTGAATAGACATTTCTCCAAAGATGATACAAAAATGGCCAACCAGGATATGAAAAGATGCTCAACATCACTAACCATGAGAGAAAAACAAATAAAAACAATGAGATATTACACCCATTAGGATGGATACTATAAAGAAAGAAAAAAAGTGTTGGTGAGGATATAGAAAACTTGAAACTCTTGTACTGCTAGTGAGATTGTGAAATGATGGAACCACTATGGAAAACAATATGGTAGCTCCTCAAAAAATTAAAAATAGACCTACCATATGATTCAGCAATCCCACTCTGGGTGTATGAACAAAAGAACTAAAAGCAGAGTCTTGAAGAGATAGTTGTACACCATGTTCATAGCAGTACTATTCATAATAGCCAGGAGGTGGAAGCAACACAAATGTCCAACCTATATAATAAATAGGTAATATGCAAATTGACCATCACACCCTTGCACAAAGATGGCTGCCCCCATGTGGTCACAATATGGCTACCACAAGATGGCCGGCAGGGGAGGGCAGTTGTGGGTGACCAGGCCAGCAGAGGAGGGCAGTTGTGGGCGATCGGGACAGCAGGGGAGGGCGGTTAGGGGCGACTAGGCCAGTAGGGGAGGGCAGTTGGGGGCGATCAGGCCGGCAGGGGAGCAGTTAGGTGTTGATCAGGCTGGCAGGGGAGTGGTTAGGGGGAGATTAGGCTGGCAGGCAGAACCAGTTAGAGGCAATCAGGCAGGCAGGCAGGTGAGCGGTTGGGAGCCAGCAGTCCTGGATTGTGAGAGGGATCCCAGATTGGAGAGGGTGTAGGCTGGGCTGAGGGGCCCCCCCCCCCCCCCCAGTGCACGAATTTCATGCACCGGGCCTCTAGTTGACAGATAAATGGATAAACAAAAAGTAATATATATGTGTATATATACAGACAATGGAATGGTATTCAACCTAAAAAAAAAAAAAAAAAGAAATCCTGTCATATGCTACAGCATGGATAAACCTCGAGGACACTTCACTAAGTGAAATAAGCCAGTCATAACAAGACAAATGCTGTATAATTCCTCTTATGTCAGGTAACGAAAGTAATCAAATAGAAACAAAAAGAATGGTTATTACCAGGGGTTAGGATGAGGGAAAAAGGATAAGTATTGTTTAATGGGTCTAGAGCAGTGGTTCTCAACCTTCTGGCCCCTTAAATACAGTTCCTCATGTTGTGATCCAACCATAAAATTATTTTCGTTGCTACTTCATAACTGTAATGTTGCTACTGTTATGAATCATAATGTAAATATCTGATATGCAGGATGGTCTAAGGCGACCCCTGTGAAAGGGTCGTTCGACTGCCAAAGGGGTCGTGACCCACAGGTTGAGAACTGCTGGTCTAGAGCTTCAGTCGAAATTTTTTTTTTAAAAAATTACAGTTTATATTCTATGTTACTTTGTACCAGAGGCCCGATGCACGAAATTCATGCAAGAGTAGGCCTTCCCTCCCCCAGCTGCCGGCACTGGCTTCCCTCTGGCACCCGGGACACGGGCTTTCCTCCAGCCACCAGCAGGCACTCGGGAGCGGGCTTCCCTTGCAGCCCTGGCTTCGTCTGGAAGGTCATCAGGAAGGACGTCTGGTCTAATTAGCACATTACACTTTTATTATTATAGATTAGTTTCAGGTGTAAAGCTAGTGGTTACACAATCATATACTTTACTAAGTGCTCGTCCTGATATTTCCAGTACCCAAATGGTACTGTACAAAGTTATTTTCCTATGTAGTACTTTACATCCCCATGACTACCTTGTAACTACCAATCTGTACTTCTCAATCCCTTCCCCTTTTCACCGAGACCCCCAAACCCCCTCCTATCTGGCCACCATCAGTCTGTTCTCTGTATCTGCGTCTGTCTCTGCTTTGCTTGTTTGTTTATATTGTTCTTTAGAGTTTCAGTTTTGCAAGATGAAAACATTCTGGAGATTGTTTTCACAACTTAACACTATTGAACTGTACACTTAAAATGGCTAAGATGATAAATTTCATATTATAAGGTTTTTTATAATTGAAAACTTTTTTTTAAAGGAGAGACGTTGGGTTTCCATTTCTGCATATGAGGAGATTGGAAGTCCCCACTCTGTTCTAACAACACATAAAAAGCTGAACAGATTGAAAAATCATCTTATTGGATCCCTAAAAAAGGGAAGGACACAGGGCACACTGCTGCCTGCAATTTGGAGTCTGACAGGCTAATCAGGCATTGGTTTTATTGTGCTCTGCTTTACTGCACTTCACAGATAATTGCGTTTTCATCAATACTGAGGCAGGACCCTCCACCAGGAAAAAGATTACGACTCTCTGAAGGCTCAGATAATGGTTAGCATATTTTAGCTCAAAGTATTTTAAGTTAAGGTATGTAGGTTTTTTTTTAGACATAATGCTATTGCACACTTAATGGTATGCTACCCTAGATGAAATGGACCAATTCTTTGAAAGACACAATTTGTTGAAAC